TATAGCGGCTGTCGTAAGTTGCTGCCTGACATATTTGTTTATGATTTTGTCATAAATCAGGCAATTTTGATACGGTATGGGTTTTGTTTATTGTGAAGTGTATAGTAACCAATAGTTGGTCAAATCTATTTCATTTGGACTTTGTTTGAAAGTCCTTTCAGTGAAAACCATTCCACGTCTCCTTTTTTCAATTAATGTTATTGTCTTATTTGTAAAAGGCAGATACAGCCAATATATTAGAATAAAGAACATTAATTTTCTAAAAAAAAAACTATATAGTAAGAAATGAACAAGCTCGGTGGCTAACACTGTTTAAATTTAAAAAAAATATTAACCTTAGATTAATCATTTTTGGAAAGAATGAAAGAAGAATCCGATACAAGGGATACAAATCCGGCTATGGCTACGGCATAAACTATTTATATAAACTTTCTACTTGAGAATAAAGATGACCTTGTATGAAGTTTTTTTGGTTGTCATCTTAGTATTATATACTTATTAATACAATTCACAAAAGCTAGCATCTTCGACTTGTAAGTTTAAAGAATTATAATGAAATAACATCTAATAAGGACAGTTTGAAATATTTTTGAATCCTGATGGTGCATACTCATAAATTCTTTTGGAAAAATCCATGTAAATTTAAATGTTGATTTGATAGCATTCATTTATTTATTTGCCCTCGTAAACAGTTTTGTTAAAATACCGAAATCGGTAAATTCTTATCGTGAACGAATAAGTCGGGTACACCTTTTTACATTCAGGCGTGCTTAAGTTGCACTTTTTTCTTCTTATTAAGAAAAATGATTATAATTTTAGCATCTATCTAAAGATTAGATTATTTACACACACACAAAAATAGGGCTTACTGTTGATTTTGAAACTCTATGAATTCACATTTATATTCAACCAAACAGATAGGCCGAGATCCATACCTTTATAAGTTTCAAAACAGAAAAGGTGTGTTTGAAAACAAATAATCACGTACTGCTATACCTTTTAAGGCAAATGCAAGTCTTACTTGTATTTATTATATAATTTTAATTGGCACAATATCACATTAAAATTTACTGAGAAATATTATACATAGTAATCATGAAAATGTACTACTGTAACAATGAAAATTCGGACGAATACACTCCTTTTCACTACCCCTCCATCTACTCATTTAAGTTTAGGCCAAACAGCCTTAGCAACAGTCTTTTATTATTTTTTCCCTGTAAATAAAAAGATTGATTGAATTTACTTAAACTAAAAAAAAAAAAAAAACAATCTTATTTTCAATAAGAAACAAGAAAATTAATTCGAAACACAATTCATGATTTATTTCTCCTAATTTTCAATGAAAACAAAGTATTTTCTTCACTTTTCTTTTAACAAATTATTCATTTCAGAAATTTAAAAAATAAACAATAAACAATGTTGAAGACCGTACCTTGACCTATAATGGTTTACTTTTATAAATTGTGACTTGGATGGATAGTTGTCTCATTGGCACTCATACCACATCTTCCTATATCTATTTAACCCAGCACATTCTTTATGTGTCTGTCCGAAGCCACGAGCCTGTAGTTTGGTGGTTGTCGTTGGTTCATCTCTATCATATTTGTTATTTTTCGTTAATTGTTTTGTTATGAGTTAGGCCGTTAGTTTTCTTGTTGAATCCTTCCACAATTTTCATCTCGGGGCTTTTTATAGCCGACTGTAAGGTACGATTTTTCGTTGTTGAAGGCCAAACGATAGCATATAATTGCTTACATACACTTTATTTGACCCTGGTGGATAGTTATCTTATTTGCAATCATACAACATCTCCACGGTTTATATTTAAAAAAAAGAACAGCGCCAACAAAAGATGAATGGTCGTTTTTTTTTATTGAACTTACAAAATTTCACCCTGATAACAAATAAGACAACAGTCGTTAGTATTATAACGATATATGAATGTATTTAGGATAATATGGTTGAAAAAAACCTTTTTGTCTTTAAAAACAAAAAGTCAAATAGAGGTACGCAACGACGACTTCTGAACGAAATTAACGGCATATATTTTATAATATTTGATAAGTAGTTTATTTTGTATATTTGTAAGCCGGTAAAGCTTTGATACAGCCAAAATTTCGTCACTTGATATTATCTAAACAGTGATTAATTTCATCTTTAAATTACAATATATTGAAAGACGCCGTACAGACAAAAGTTGTTATTTTGCAATTCGCCGTACAACGTCCTGCAATTCGCCGTACAATAAACAAACAATGTTTTGGTCCATATTCTTTAAAAACTTCTTTATGACAACAGATTTCAGTCAATATGTTGTCACACTATCATAATCTAAAAACGTGTCTGGAAAAATAATGAAAAACAGTTGAATATCTTGCCAATGGGGCGACAGAGGACAATCGACCTCGAAATTTTCAGGTACTAAGTGGCAAGCTTTGGAGTATAGCACAAAATCTTGTCTTAATTTTGTACTTATCGGCCTAATAATTTAAAGAATTATATATCAGAAAATCATTTCTTAAGCGGCACCCTCGTCAAATCAGTAGAAATGCTTTAAATTGAATGAATTCTTACCTTGTTTACTTTTTTTTCCATTTCTCTCCGCTTCGTTAGTACCCAATTTCCGGTGGCGATGATACACAGTGATAGTCTTCAATTCTATCCTAATTACGATACGTGCGGCCATTTGAAAGACGTATATATACACTCCGGCAATTGCAATACATCACAATAATCGTATGAGGGGTTGATTGATATGTATTTAATAGTCTCCGTGTAACAAAAAAGCAAGGCTAACACTGATCCTAATAGCAAATATCGAGTAATACAACACAAATTGCACCACGGACGCCCTTCGTCATAGTGGATTTTGCTGTTGGAATGAAAATATTCCAGTGACCATATTTTTTTATAAAATTAAGTCAACTTTTGGCATCCTATGGGTTTATATTGATAGAACAAGACGAATATATTGGCGAAAAAGCCGTCCTTTTTTGTTGCAGCCATCTTTAAAATGTTTGAAATCACAGTAGCCAACGGTTGTTTAAAATTTCGTTATATATGAAGTTTCCATGTTTAAAATCATGCTTGTATCTTTAAGTGAAAAAGTTTGTGATTATTTTACGTTAGCCGCTGCACTGTTTATGACACAAAGATTGCTCGATACAAAATGATAAACAGATTTAAAAAAAAAATCTTAATTTGATTGAAAAGGATATCATAATTATGTAAAATTAATTATTTCTTTTTTTCTCAGTGGTAAACTTTTTTGAGCTGATTTTAACAATTATAAATACATTTTTTTCAAAGTGGTAAATTCCTTTTTGTTGATTTAATACCATTTGATAATAAGTTAAGTTTCAATCTGCAAATTAAGGTGACAGTAGTTTACCGATGTTAAATCTCGTAAATCGATTAGAAAGAGACAAGTCAAACTGAATGTATCGGATGCACTTCAAAAAAAAAAAAAGCGAGACAGGATGCGTTGACAGGGTAAGCGTCTTCTGCTATGCATGCGTCACCCACCATGAGAATTCGCCTAAAGTTACTCTCAGGAAATGGGCACAATCAGTAAAACATATATGTATTTTTTGAAAATTCAATTCGTTCACTAATTATTAAATATTATTCATAAAAAAGTATAATCAGGTGCAACTTTGGACTCTATATAGTGGGTCTATAACCATCAGGTTATAATGTCTTGTCATAAATGCATATTGACAGTTGAAAATATAAGGGGGGTCATAAGTTCAGGTTTTCACGTATTATTCTAAGAAATGGTACGAACTGCCTAAAAAAACCTCTGTGTTTAAGGAAGGAGGTCCGTGGTTCCCTTGATGCACCAATATGCACATTACACGATTTAGAGTTGGAAGTGAGTCATGAAACGGAAGTTTCATTGTTTAGCCTTACTCGAGCGATTGCATGCTTATGTAATTTGAGAACTTTTTACCGACAAACAACCTAGACTATCTATCCGATCAATGCCATTCTACCATTATCACCACCATGATATGCTCCTATTTGATTTCATATTCAAGTTTGAATTTCAGCTACCATCAACTTGGTTATGGTACTTTATAAATCACGATTCAATAATCTAAACTTAGTTTTATGCAACTATGTAACAACTCATGCAGTTCTCGTATGACTTTATTTGGCAAAACTTTGGTGTCATCATTACTCTTGAACTTCATACTTTATTTTGCCTTTTTAATACTTTTTTTGATTCGAGCGTCACTGATGAGTCTTTTGTAGACGAAACGCGTGTCTGACGTACAAAATAATTAGTCTATTTACAACCACTGGTCGATGCCACTGCTGGTGGAGTTTTTCTCCCCGAGGATATCACCAGTCAAATAGTCAGCATTTTTTAACTGTTTACAAAACCTTGATGTTTTCGAAATACCAAGAGTTTTCTACCCCAGGAATAGATTACCATAGCTGTATTTGGCAAAACCTTTTGGAATTTTGGACCCTCAATGCTCTTCAACTTCGTACTTCATTTGGCCTTTTAAACTTTTTTGATTGGAGCGTCGCTGGTGAGTCTTTTGTAGACGAAAAACGCGTCTGGCGTTCACAATTTCAATCCTGGTATTTTTAAGAGTTTATGAACGTATGTCTGCACAACTATGGTCCACAGTAATACCATAAAAAAGTATTGACTTTACAGACACCTTTAATAGTTTGAACACATGAACCTCTTAATATTTATTAAATACTGTGGATTCATTTATTTTCGTGGGTACCAATTTTCGTGGATTAAGGAAAACTTACATGTTCGTGGATATCTAATTTCGTGGTTTTTGACAATGTTTGCATACAAGCCTATAGTAAATTTGCCATTCGTTGAGCATTTAATTTCGTGGTTAACCTATAACCACGAAATCCACGAAAATTGGTATCCAACGAATAATAATGAATCCACAGTAACATAAAAGTCTTCAGCTTTCCAATGTAGTGCTAAATCAGAACGGAACTATTTTTCATTCTTTTAGCAATATAGCCCTTCCAGTAAACAAATACGTTTTTGGTCCCAGAAAGAGTCAAATATACATCGATAAATTGCAGTGTACAGGTCACGAAAAATCGATTGATGATTGTAAATACAGCACCGTTCGAGGTTTTGCAAATCACAACGGAGCAGGAGTTATTTGTGATGATAGTATGTATTCTATATAGGAATATTTATATTCATTGTATTTACACCATAGGCATTTCCAACATCATGTGATAATATTAATTAATTCATTCTATTAAAAGTTTATTGTTACGCATCGGTGACATGAATGAACATAACACAAAATTGCATTTCCTGGTTACCAGTATTATATCAGACGTGTTTATCTCATGCACAATTATCTAAAGTGTTGTTGACACACTCGCACATGATATATATAGTACAACAATAAGGCAATTTATTGTTGTCTTCATTAATGTCACCCATGCTTAACAATAATAAACTATCGAAAAAAAAAAAATAACAAAAACAAAGAGAAGAGCAATACTATATAACGATAAAATAATAATAAAAAAACCTAAACAAATATTTTGAGGTATCTTCTAAACTGACATGTATTGAGGCAACAATAGTTTACCAATTTTCCTATCACGTAAATCAATAAAGAAGAGACAAATCAGGGAACCTAACAAAAACTAAGCGAATGGCATAAACTCCAAAAGGAGCGAGATTGGGTTTGTCGACAGGATAAGATTCTTCTGCTATACAAGCATCAGCCGTAATTCGAATCCACACTCAGTCAAAGTGTCATAATCCGGAATAGGACACAATTGGCAAAATTATAGATCAGACGACACAAACATCTCGCTATATCATCAGTAAACTGTTTTACGGTTTTAATTTTAACGAATTAGATAACGATATTGCTGGATACATGATACAAAATTGTTGTTTTTCATTGTTGTTATTTCAAAGAATACTTAGAAAAGATTACAGCAATGACCAAAAATATTAGACAGTAAACGTAACACACAAAATAAACAGCAAAAATTTCCGAAAACATTGTCATATTATTAAAAATATAACAACCAGGAGCAAAACATGATCAAGATAACATGACTTGCTTCTGTGATGACATGAATTGTCATTGATATGGTCAAAATTATAAAGTAACTGTTTACAAAACTAAATTTTAGAAAATACTGAGGATTTTTACTCCAGGAATGATTACTTTAGCTGTAGTTAGTAAAACCTTTTGGAAATTTAAGGTCCTCAATGCTTTTCAACTTCTTACTTCATTTGGCCTTTTTAACTTCATTCTTTCGAGCGTCACTGATAAGTCTTTTGTAGACGAAACTGGTGTTTAGCATACAAAATTTTAATCCTGGTATCTATTTATTTACAAGCATAAGGTCGATGCCACTGCTGTTGGAGTTGACATTCCCGGAGGTTTCATCAGGCTACTCTCGAAGTCCATCTGCTGCGGGATCGTCCCTGTGCTAGTAAATGAGAATAGTTCTTTGTAATTTTGAGCCTCATAAGCTGTCCCGGTTTTACGTGTCCCCTGTTATGTTTGGCTTTGTGCGTTACTGATGAAGGTAAATCCAGAAAAGCGCTTCGAACGCATGTAATTATTAAACGTGTTGTTTTCAATATTTTACACAGTCGCCTCAGTACTCTGCATGATTTAGGGTGTTTTGCCTAGGCTCATTCTTAATCTTTAAATCTATGACTCAAAACATTAGCTGTATTTGACGTAAAAACATTATCAAATATAACCTACGTAATATAGGTTATTCAAGAAACCCAAATAGTGTAAATAATTCGAAACAAAGAAATATTTTGAAAGTTTGAATTTTAAAGTTTTTGATGGTAAAACCTTTACTTTCGAAATTCAAACTTTTTTTATTAACTAAATCGTTGCATATTTTTAAAACGTTGTTTATATCGGCGCATTAGTGTTGACATATAATATTAACATTGTTTGGATATTGATTTGACTATTTCTACAGGAGGTATACAGATTCGACTGTCTTACTATTATCATGGTCGTTTAGAAATTTTGATAAATAGACGATGGAGAACAGTTTGTGCTGATAAGTTTGATGTAAATGCTGCCATGGTAGTTTGTAGACAGCTTGGATTTCTATCGTGAGTTCACTTTTTTAACCAATGATTTCTCTAACAATATCTATTTGTAAAAATTTGATTTTGTTGTTTCGAGATACCAAGTTTTGTAAATACAAGTGTCAAATTGTTTGCGACGCTAGCTATATTTTGGTTTACTGTGATAAATAGATATGCACTTTTAGGATGTTTGTTCCAAGAAAATTCAGTTTTGCCTGATGAATTTACTTGTTATCATTTCCATTGTATAAACTGCAAAGTTGTCTTCTGGTTAGCTCTTCAATGGGAGTATACTTGTTTTGACTGGAAATCTTTTTAATGAATCCTTTAATGATAATCTGATGCATCCAAAGAAATGGGATTTTTTTTCATTCCATGTAAATAAAGGATACCTCAGGCTGGATCATGAGCTTCGTATTTATTGATTTCTATAAAACAAAACAAAACATACCTACTATATCATTTCCCATTCCTACATCGAAACCTATTGCGTTAAGACTTTTAACCACAAGATTGAATAAGAAACACATACCCTCAGTGATGTCAAATCTAAACCTCAAGATTGTTATTGTGCAAATTCCCCATATAAAGTCACGCTAGTCATCTTTATAGCTGGAGACCTGGCATAAACAACAAACTACTGAGAGAGTTGTTAGGCAATATCGAATTCTCTAAACCAATAAACTGGAAAAGCTTCTGGTTACTGTTTGATGAAGCTAAGGACCTTGTCAGAAAATGGGTAAAGCGCTAGCCATCAGAACCAAACCTTTTCTGAATTGATCAAACTTTTTGTCGTGTATTCAGAAGCGCATTCAAAATCAACAAAGTGGAATTAGCCCATGAGTATCTTGCAATTTCAAGACCTCTTATTCCTATGAATCGGACACGATATTCGCCAAAACAAATTATGCTACTATTAGGCATCATTGTGACTTTAAGATTTAAAAAAAAAATAACCATGAGGGCGCTTTTCCTTTTCCTTGGTTTAAAACAAGTATGTGTAGAGTTTTTGTATATGGAATAAGTACAACATATTCCTTCTTTACTATTGTTGGTTATAAATAGTGTGCCGAACCCCCTTTTTTGTTACTTTTCTATGTATTTTAGGCCTAACCAAAACCATTTTAAATGATATTTAGTGTACCGACAAAAAAGTCAAATTTAATTGGAATGAACCCTTTGGGACATTTTGCTGTTCGGGCTTTGTGACCGAATTTTTATACTTCCTAATTAACAAAAGAACACACTTAGGAAGTAATTGTTATGCGGGTTTAGTAACGTACTAAGAGCCCAAAACATTCTACATGTATATTATAATCAATAATCCCCACAAGACCGGACGTGTCGCTGCATTACTACATCTTGCAAGTTCAATTAGCCTGATGTTAGTTGTTTTCACTTATTCCGTTGCTTGATAGTATTTGATTTCGTAATTTTTTATGGACTTCCCCTTTTTGAATTTGCCTTGGAATTCGGTATTTATGTTATACCATTTTTATCATTTATTCAGAATTTCATTTGATAAAAATAACGATATGTGGTTTCCGTGGCGATGACATTCTATGTTTGCCATGGCGTCATCAATTTATTTTTGATCATGCGTTTTGAATGTCATCCTTGCATCTTCTGCCTGTTTTATACAATTTGACGTGATAATACTACGATTAGATTTATAAATGACTTCCAGCTGCTACGCAGACGTTGTAAAACGTGATAATAATACGATTGGATTTATAGATGACTTGCAGCTGTATTTGTCAACTATAAATACTTCTGTATAGACGTCTTTGTCTATTTGGTATTACTATCAACTACAACAATCTATTTTGTTGGGGTCTTTGTTAGATTTATTGGTATGTTTGTTGAATGTTTAAGTCAGTTGTGTTGTATGTCTGTGGTGTATGTTTTCACAGTTTTAGCTGCTGTTTCCCAATTATTTCACTTTACTCTAACCTATAATGTCTTTTTGGGTTGCTCAACCAGTTGTGTCATTATAACGGAACGTGAATAACTAGTGGGAGGCTAAGCTAGCTATAAAACCACCTTTTCTTTGGAAAATACCTGTACCAAATCAAGAATATGGCAGTTGTTTTACACTCATTCAGTTGGTTGATAACATTTGATTTTGTCAGTTTTTATTAGCGTCGTTTTTACCTTGGAGTTCGGTGTTTTTATTATACTTCTTTGGTCACGTTTATAGGAATTTTCTGGATTTCAGTTCTTTGCAACTTCGTGTCTTGTTAAGCCTTTCAACTGTTTTATATCTTATTTAAGATACACTTTTTGTAGATGACAAGCGCGATAGCGTACCAAATTTAAGTCCAGTTATCTGTCCAGTTATCTGTATACTTGGGTTTATGAAACCTTTTAAAAATGAGCATAGGTATACAACTTTATATTTATGGGTATTCTTATGTTGTTGTTAAGGTTTTTGTAATGTTTATATCCTATTTTGCTATTTTCTGTAAGGAAATGTCCGATTTCTGCTATTAGGATTTAATTTTTAATGTAATTAGTTTGATTTGGCATTTTAGTTTTACTGCTGGAAGTCGAAATAAAAAAAAGCTATTGACTGGAAAAGGCACTATTTAGCTTACTGATTTCGGCTTCATCCAAAATATACAAAACCCAGATTCTAACAACCAAAGATGTATAAATACGTGTAGAGCTACAAAGCAAATAAGAACCTAAAAGATAGCTAAAACTGTTGAAAATCAACTAGGCTATAAAAATACAATATTTTTTTTCTGAAAAATTACACAAATATTTTAACTGACAATAATTTCAAAATGTAAACAACATACCACATCTCCATTTTTATGTTAAACATCACGCTGGTGCCTAGAATTACTCACTTGACACAAGTACAAACAAAACAATATAAAATAAACTGTATGAACGAATGCTAACAATGATTGAAAGCAGTCTAAAAGTTCATAACCGGCTAGTATGAAACTATTCTGTTTTACGCTCTAATATCGCTGACTTTACTTCAAAGTATAGTTTACGTAAGACACATTCCCCATTTCCATTCTGAATTTTATTTAATACAGTATGAAACGTCGTTCAACTATGCTACCGTTCAAGTTATAAAAATATTTATCATCATGGGAACAAGTAGCAAATGACTGTCCTACAGTACATACTGGAGACACTTTCGAAAGAAATGGTTGGCTTAACCAAGTTGAACAGTTCGCCAAGTCACCTATACATGTGTATGACAATAGTTTCAGTTTCAACTAACTATGTCTTGGAGTTAATTTCTCTGCTGGACTTTGCAGTGTATGCGACATTTTAACGTTTAAGTGACTTATGGTACTTGCTATTGAAATGCTTCTTTTTCTCTATTACCATGGAATAGGACAGAAAATGTTATCGCATGCAATGCAGGATATGCTTTCTTTTACATCGTTCCAGATACATCTTATGTTTATTTGAAAGTTTTCATTGTCATAAAATCGAAAGATTTTGAAGTGTTCATTGAAATGAAAAATCAACGAAATGAAACACGTTTCTTTGTTGAAATAATGGTTAAGTCAGTAAACACTATACAAAATCATTAGTCTTTACATTAAATTCATTGGATGTTTATGTGTACTTATTGATATTTTAGTCTTAGATGCATGATTGTTTAATAGTTGTTATTGGCTTTGAACTAGATGTCAGTAACTGCGAGTACTGTGTCTTTTTTGTTGTGGGGATGTATAAGTACCCTGCCACTTCGGTCTGTGTTTTTGTTAGATTTATTTCTGCTTTGTATCGATCTGATGAGTCAAGCCCTTTTTAACTGAATTTTATAGTTTGATCTTATGTTGTACTGTAACACAACTGTCCCAGGTTAGGGGATGGTTGACGCCTTCAAACTAGTTTAACCCCTCCACATTCTGTATGTTCCTGTCGCAAGTCAAGAGCCTGTTATTCAGTGTTTGTCGTTTGTTGCTGTATATCATATTTCTTTTTCGTTCATTACTTTGTATATAAATAAAGCTGTTGGTTTTCTCGTTTGAATTGTTTTAAATTTGTCATTTCGGGGCCTTTTATAGCTGACTATGCGGTTTGGGTTTTGCTCATTGTTGAGGACCGTACGGTGACATATAGCTGTTAACTTCTATGTCAGTTAGTCTCTGGTGTAGAGTTGTCTCATAGGCAATTGTACTATATCTTCTTATTTTTAGCTCACCTGGCCTAAAAGGCCAAGTGAGCTTTTCTCATCACTTGGCGTCCGTCGTCCGTCGTCGTTAACTTTTACAAAAATCTTCTTCTCTGAAACTACAGGCCACATTTAACCAAACTTGGCCACAATCATCATTGGGGTATCTAGTTTAAACAGTGTGTCCGATGATCCCGTCCGCCAATCAAGATGGCCGCCATGGCTAAAAATAGAACATAGGGGTAAAATGTAGATTTTGGCTTATATCTCTGAAACTAAAGCATTTAGAGCATTAATCTGCCCTGAAATTTTCAGACAAATCAGACAACCCGTTGTTGGGTTGCTGCCCCTGAATTGGTAATTTAAAGGAAATTTTGCAGTTTTTGGTTATTATCTTGAATATCATTATAGATAGAGATAAATTGTAAACAGCAATAATGTTCAGCAAAGTAAGATCTACAAATAAGTCAACATTACCAAAATGGTCAATTGACCCCTTAAGGAAAGATTGCCCTTTATAGTAAATTTTTAACATTTTTTTGTAAATTTTTGTAATCTTTTACAAAAATTTTCTCCTCTGAAACTACAGAGACAAATTTAACCAAACTTGGCCACAATCATCAAAAGGGTATCTAGTTTAAAAAATATGTCCAATGACCCCGCCTACCAACCAACATGGCCGACATGGCTAAAATAGAACATAGGGGTAAAACGCAAGTTTTGTCTATAATTTTTTGAACTGTTATAAATAAAGAAAATCTGAAAGGAGCAAAATGTTCAGAATAATGAGCTCTACCAATTGTCCATATACATCAAAACTGTTAGACAAATTCTTATAGGAGTTATTGCCCATGAATGACAAATTACCATTTTTTTTTTCATTTTTTGCATATTATCATGAAAACTATGATATTTTAATAAAGAGACACATTTTTTCCCCGTTATGACTTATATGATTTAAATTATAATAGATAAATAAACACTTTAAATCACAAAAATGATCAACAAGGCAAGATCTATTAAAAAGTCAAATTTTGCCGATATAGTTAAAAGACTGTCACTCTTCATAGGAGTGATTGCCCTTTAATGAGGATTTGTTTTACCCTCTTTTGTGTTTTGAGCAAAAACTAAAGACGATAGAGAGAAACTAAACAGACTAAAGATCAGTAATACAAGATCAACAAATTAAGAGATGTTTGTCATGAAGTCTTTTCTCGTCTACAATGTTGGAGAGTGTCCTTTGTTTGATATGCACATAGACCAAGTGAGCGACACAGGCTCTTGGAGCCTCTATGTATTTGTCATTTAAGAATTTTAAGAATTGCCTTTATAGTATGCTCAATTTATTTACTCATTCCAGATCATTTGAACATAGATAAACTACTGTCGTTTAATCCAACTTTCCATTATATTGCGACGTAAGGTGAACATGTTTCTTAGTTAAGATCTCTGTAGTATTAGTCAAACATCTTGTTTTAGGCAAAATGCTGAATTCGTCAGAACTTCAGTTCATCACTTTTATTTCATTGATTATGATAGTATGACGATGCAACTAAATAACATCAGCTGTAATGGCAATGAAGACAACGTGTTAAAATGTCGCATGAATACGATTGGTTATCATCACTACTTTGACGGAGACGACATCAGTGTAAATTGTCAAGGTAATATTTCATGTAAATGTGACATTTCATCCCAAATTGACAAAACACATCTAGATTTTGGTGAAATTAGACCGATGGCGTAATACCAAAAAGCTAGTTTACTCACAATTTCACCTTGCATGAAATGTTAATTGGCAATATATCGTTTTGAGTAAGTAGGTTTCTTGTGATTATATAGAAATGGGAAGGGACATAGGAATGAGGGACTTTGAAAAGCAATGTTTTAGAAGAAGAATAGTATGAAGCTGTATAAGCAAAATAGAACCTACGAATACTAGCAAAATTCATCTAACCACAACTATGCCTGAGGGAGTTGGTAATAGTACTAATAGTACACCAGCAGCGGTATTGTGACAGTAATTGTAAATGAGAATATCTTTCTAGCGTTTTGAGTTGTACGTTTTTATTTCCCCCCTGTAAAACAGTCGCCCAGGTGCTATCAGGGTGTTTACTCAATATAACAGTTTTACCAGAGCTTCCTTTCATTTCAAAGACAATATAAACTTCCATCTGAATTATTTAAAATAACCTGTTAGTATTGAATTAATTTTATATCACTTTCATAATGATAGTTTTTCTTGATCGTGTTTAATGTATTTGCATGAAATCAGTTTGTAAGTTGTATTTTGTGTTTAAAAATACTGCGAATTAAGAATGTGTTGTTTTTTGGAAAAAAAGTTTACAACTCCACCAGACAAACTTAGCCCTCACAATCATGCGATTTTTGATGTTCTGTAAAGACTCATAATAAATCATTAAAATTGATCACTCAAAATTTTTATTGTATTTTCGGTAAATAAATTATTAAACTCTAATCTACATAATGGTTATACAAGAAACACGCGCCTTTCGAACTAGAATCGGTACGTTTAATCTTTGCATGCATTATGATGTAACAAACGTTTTAACTTATTTATAGTTAAGCATTCCAAATTTAGGGACAAACACGTAGACATAAGTACATTTTTCAATATAGAAAATCTAAACCTATTCATCTGAATAATTGTAACTGACTCGAAACAGAATCTCTTTTTCGATATTCGTAGTAACATTAATTACTAATCTGAAGACATTTTTCTATTTAAGTATTTAAAATAAAATTTTCAACAATTTTTGCTGGTTACACATTTCTTATATTTATAAGAAATGTGTAACCAGCAAAAATTGTTACACCTTTGCACCAATTATATCGTCTCAAACTTTTTAAATGTACTTTACATTAGTGCATTGATGTTGATATATAGTGTTACTATTGTTTAAAGATTGATTTGACTATTTTATAGGAGGTATTCGACTGTCTAATTATGATCATGGTCGTTTAGAAATTTTGATGAATAGGAAATGGGGAACAGTGTGTGCTGATAAGTTTGATGTAAATGTTGCCATGGTAGTTTGTAGACAGCTTGGATTCCTATGGTGAGTTCAATTTTTCCCATTTGATATCTTAAAAGATATATATTTACATATTGGCCATTACTGATTGTAGAGAACAAGTTTTGTATGTATATGTGGAAACTTGTTTGCGATGTTGGTCAGATATTGGTGTACTATGATTAAAAAAAAATGGACTTTTTTTATTATTGTTCATATAGAATTCAGATTTTCCAGATCGATTTACCCGTTGAATGTTCCATTGCTAAAGCTGTCAAGTTGCTGTTATGCCAGGTTTCTGATGCCAGTATACTACTTAGCCAGGATATGATTATTTAAATCATGCCTTTAATGATATTCCCGTGCATACAAAGAAAAGGTATTTTCCCCAATTCCATACAAAAGAAGGTTACCCAAACTGGAACCTCAGGTTCATATTTATTCATTCCTAGGAAGTCAACAACAGACCAACATCTCTTAATTTGTGCTATTATATGAGCCTGTAAGCTATAAAACTTCTCATTCTTGAGTATTGTTATGCAATCCCTCGAAGATTTCCATTTTTTGCATGAAAGGTAAAAATTTTACCAAGGCCAGGAGTATTAGCAAATTTCCTTATGCAAGAAAAAACAAAATATACTTATTTGAGCGTTTTGTCTGCGTGGAAAGCAATCATTGTAACTTGTGATAAAAACGAATTTCCAACAAATGCTTTGGAAAAAATCCATCAATATATCCGCTCACATTTGCGAGAAGTCTCATCAGCTGATCACCATTTGATTAAATTACGATTTACTGTCATATTAATGATTAGCCAAAGACATTTATAAAACACAAGTGATAGGTTAAACTATGTTTAATGATGTTCCAAACCCCCCTTCTGTCGTTCCGAGGTTAATTTTCTATGTTTCTTATGCGTAATATGAAACCATTTAAAATGACATTATTTGTAGAATTTGTTCGACAAAAGAGTCTTTTTTCAAGATTGATATGAACCCTTTCGGACAATTTTTTTCACGGGCTTTGTAACAGGATAGCTACATTTCATTAGAAATGAGATGTTATATGGGTTTCGTTACGAACTAAGAGCCCGGAACATTATACATATATATAATTGATATAAAAAACCTCATGAGGCCGGACGTGTCTTTGTTTTATACATCTTGCAAACCTGAGGTTATCCATCATCCAGGTTGTCATCTAATAATATTGTCACGGGTTTGGGATAACGTATGCGTGACCTAATATTACCGGTCAAAATGAATACCCCAATCAAGCTTGGTTATTGGTTGGGGAAATATACGTTATACAACAGAGGAATAATGTAATACATGTATACAATAGATATTTATTGAACTTCTTATGCTATGTTGCTTTTATGACAGGATTTTTAAACAATAAAATGATTTGTTCTTTAGTTGTCGTCTCTTTCTTTGCTTTAAATATGAATCAATCTTCTCAAAACGGGTTTATCGATCTCTGCCTTGTATTATCGGTGTTATCATGTATATCTATTATATAGTCATTTTGTTTTAAAATTTACTGTTTGCAAAAGTATGAATTATTCTAAATACTAAGGATTTTCTTATCCAAGACATATAACCTTAGCCGTATTTGGCACAACTTTTTGGAACTTTTGGTCCTCAATGCTCTTCAACTTTGAACTTGTTTTGGCTTTCGTACTTTTTTTATCTGAGCGTCACTGCTTAGTCTTGTGTGGAAGAAACGCGCGTCTTGTGTATAAAATTTTAAACCTGGTACCCTTTGTTAGCTATTATTCGTATGTTTCTCTGTCCTATATGTTCTATTTATTTGTATTGTAGTCATGTCATGTAATGTTGTCATTTTAATGTTATATTTAACATTGCCATAAAAGCGGGAGGTTTGGCTAGTCACAAAACCAGGTTCAACAAACCATTTATTTCTTAAAATGTTCTGTACCAAGTCAGGAATATGGCCATTTTTATATTATAGTTTGTTTCTGTGTGTGATTCATTTTAATGTTGTGTTTCTGTTGTGTCGTAGTTCTCCTCTTATATTTGATGTGTTTCCCTCAGTTTTAGTTTGTAACCCGGATTTGTTTTTTCTCAATCGATTTATGAATTTCGAACAGCGGTATACTACTGTTGCCTTTATTTTGTATTGTCGAGTCGACTTTTTAATTATTAAAATATCAAAATAGATGATGTCTTATCCTGAATAGCGTATGTCTTCATAATTGTTGCCATAAAATGTGAGAATAACCTCAGCATCAAGCAATTGTAAAGCTTAAGTAAACTATATATATAAGTTGTCTTATCCAACTTTCATATTTAATAGAATAAATTTTCTCTGTACCGGTCTTTTTTTAAATTCCAATCGTGTGGTTTTTTTCCCGTTGCCTGTCAAAATCCCAGAACCATGAAAAGTCTCCCGCTCTTGCTTTTATACATGTGCTAGGTAGCTATAGCAATTGCTAAAGTCTAGCTATCCCCATACTGTCCCAATAGCTACTGGTAAGAGTGGCGCGAAATTCATCATCTCTTAGGAAACAATCCGAATCTCGTATTTTCATCCAAAAGACTCGTTACTTCATTAAACTATAATTACATGACTTGTATGTTTCATTATAATACGTTATTTTGATTGGCTAACAGCAATCTGGCGTCGTTCTGAAATTAAGCTTCATTTCAAAATGAAATGTAACATTCATGATGACACGAGCTTCAACAATAAAGTGCACATGTAAATAAAAGAAAAAAAATGATAGAAATCGTGTTTTCATGATCCTAGCAAAAAAATGTGATTATAAGTATTGAATGCTTTTTTAGTAATTTTATAGCAGTTGTTATCAAATAGTTCGTTTCTATGTGTGTTGGCGTTTGCTTTTGTTGCACTTCGGTGTTCCTGTTGTTCATTTGTTTTCCTCTTATAGATGATGTGTTTCCCTCGATTTTGGTTTGTAACCCGGATTTGTTTTCCACCGGTATACTACTGTTGCCTTTATTTATAGGGTTGTAAAAGCGTTGACCGTGCGCATGTTTTTAGAATACAAAATGTATTTCGGTCAACGCTTTTACACCCCAATAAATTAACAAAAAGAAGAATTCAATTCTTAAATAAAAATTATCTAACTTCCCTTAAATAGATATTAAATATACTTTGTTTCATTGAAAAACTATCACCCAATACAAATCAGGATATTACTCTCCCCTTTTGAGTCTCACAAAGTGTGCTACTAATTTAACCAAATACGCACAATTGGAAAGTCAACTGTGGAATACACATTCTCACTGGAATTTCGTACATCAGGTGCTTGTAAACATTGATCGATATGACAATAATTTGAAATATTGAAATAAAATGAAATCTTGGCGTGCTAAATAGGTAAGAACGAAACAAGTCCAACCGACTTATAACCTCTAAGACAACTGTCATGTGGTTAAATGAAAGAAATTCACCCCAACCATTAGACGTCCTTCTTCTCATATGCAAATTAAGTTGACTCGTCATATCATGTGCTTAAATTTATCAAGCTCATAGATCAAATTTTATACTTAAATTCAATGAAATAACTGCAACATATGTTACGTAGATCTGAATAAGGTGTAAATTAGCTCAAACCAGTTCAGGGGGGGGGGGGGGGGGGGGGGGTATTTGTAGATTATTACAATATACACGTTTTGTAATTTTCCTAGCTTGACATTGTTTTGTCATGGGATAGTCATTGTATTGTAATATTTTAATGTTTTGTAAACATTGAACTCTGGTTAATTTGGATTTATATAACTGTTTATTTGTGTACAGAGAAAATTAATGACGCAAGGCTGACAAATGGCTAGTTTTATTATCTGCAGTTAAAGTTGAACTGTCAGATGTAATTTAGACAAGTAGCGATGTCTTTGGATGTAGGGTAATAACATTTATGCATATTTGTCTTTTTTAGAATGAAAGTAATTAAACTTTCTGATAAAGGTCAGTTGGTCAAGATACTGGCAGATTGTGTATCAGCTGTGATACTGTAAGGCTGTGATTTTTCCTGGAAGTCTTGAATCAATAAAGATTCTGGAGGACTTGTATTTAAAGTGTATATGTTTAAATTTTGTGAGCTATCTTTGTCAATAAGTCTGAAGTAATGTACATTTCAGTGTGAAGAAACTTCTAAAAAGATATCGTATTATTTAGCTCATGGGATTTACCATAGGATACATTGTCGTGCCATGGTATGGTTATGTTCGTCTGCCTGTGTCGTTGTCTTTTTCCCCCCTCGGTGACGTTACATTATTTTCGATTATACGTTTTGAATGTCCCCTTGATATCTTACCCCCGATTTCACAAAATGGCAGGAATTTGAAATCCTGCGTGATGCTCGTACAGCTTTAAAAGATATTTATCCTGTTGGTTTATATTCTATATATGACATCAAGAATGTTTTGCTCAACTATTTGGGAATATTTGGTTTTCAATGCTCTTAATCATTGTATTTGGTATGGCCTTCTAATTTTGTTTTATTCGAGCGCCACTGCAAAGTTTTATGTAGATGGAAAGCACGTCTTGCTTACTAAAGTTTAAACTTGGTTTTCTGTATAACTTGATTTCTGTTATAGATAATGCATATTTTAAGGTTTTTCTTGTCGTATAACACACCGAGTGGTGTCAGGATTGTTCAAATGAAAAAAACGACGTACGGAGGTCTTTCTTTGGACACTCCTGACACCAAGAGGTGTATTATACGACAAGAAAAACCTTAAAATATGCATTATCTGACTTATATACCGTCAACAAATACTATTTTCTGCAAAGATTTTCATGAATTCTATCTTATTTTACCAATCTTATTGAAGTGGGATATTCTTTTCTTCCGCGCTTAGATAAAAACACGCCCTATGGCTAATTTTTAAATTGAAATAAAACTCATCAATTCATCTAGATAAAAACTTAGAAATCACTGTCCAGTTACGATATAAATGTTACAGTTGTTGCATGAAGTGAGAAGCGAATGATTTGTTAAGATGTACGAAAAATTCAAGTCACCTTGTGAGTTATTTATCACATAAGCTAAATAAAGAGGTGCAATATTTTTTCTCTTGTTTCTCAACATTTTTATCATGGAAAAGCAGATTATTTTTTCAGAATAATTGTTTTCTCTCTTATGGCTGGCAATACAATTTTTTCTTTAAAAATTGCGAATCAGGATCAAATATCATACCCCTTCTTTTAAAGAACGTGGCTATTCAACTATAGAAAATAGGAATATTTTGTCATGTAGTAGAGTTAACGGTTTTTATTTCAGCCTAATAAACGGAGGAAAAGATTGTTTCGGTCTAAACATTAAAAAAAAAATGTACAAGATAGAAATTTGTACAATAAAACCCAATTGACAACAACACTAATTACATGTTTAAGTACTCGGTAGTTTGTATTTCAATCTAGGTAAATAATGACCTAACGCAGGTCATTATTTTAGGCTTTGAAGCATATTTCATTGAAACTTGGTATCGTCCAGGTTGTTTCTTCAAAAGAATGACCTGTCGTTCTGAAAGGAATTAACTCCATATAGGTATATAAACCATATTAACTCGACATCGGTATACAATTACAATTTAATCTTCTCTTGTTACTAGTATCATGATTTTGTTGTTAAGGTTTTTGTATTGTTTACTTACTATATTGTTTTTTTTTGTGGTGAGGGAATAACTCATTTTTGATGTTCACCTTTCATTTATTATTAGTTACCCACTTTGCACAAATACAAACAAAACCAAACAAACAAGACTGGATGAAAGAATCATTGCAAGTACAGAAAGCAGTCTCAAAGTACATAACCGGCAGGTTTAAAACAATTATGTTCTACGCTCTAATATTGGTTGCTAAACTTCAGAGTATATTTTATACAGAATAAAACGTCGTTAAAATGGGCTATTCCTACTTTAAAAATAACTATGCATTGTAGTCAATTTCTCTGTCGGACTTTGCCATGTAGTACAACTTTTACCTTTTTTGTCGAGTTCCAAAAACCATTTTTTTTGGCCATAGGATCAAATAATATGTATGTGGTTATCTAAATAAACAAACAATAATGCTTTTCCCTGTTAATAAATGGGTAAAGTCAGAACAAAATTATTCCTGTATTCATCTTTAAATGTTGAAAATTTACTTTATAGTATGCAGATTCAATTTATTTCTTGCTCAACCATCCATTCTATTGTAGAGTAAGGTGATAATATATTCTCTAAAGATTTCTTCAGTCTAATCTATCATATTATTTTAGGCAGAAGGCTGAAGTCATAACAACGCACGCTATTGCTAATGATAGTGTGCCAATTCACCTGGACGCCATCAGCTGTGATGGAACTGAAGACAACGTGTTAAAATGTCGCATGAACACGTTTGGTATGCATGACTGCTCTCACACAGAAGACATAAGTGTAAAATGCCAAAGTTACAGCAACCAAGGTAACGTTTCTTGCAAAAGGAATAGAACCACTAATTCATAGCCCTTGCTTTCTATGTTAAATTCTGCAACTTCAAGCATTCATACATATTTTGTCTTAAGTTAAAGTAAAGTATAGTCATTCCATGTCAAAACTTTACCTTATCCTGATTAATGCTGAAAAAATCAACTTACCTTTGATTGCATATTAGAGCGCACTGGTTCCCGGAAGTTGGGTAGTACTAAAACAGGTACTTCTGATCTTAGCAACTGGGCAAATAAGCCCTCCTATCTTAATTTCACATATTTTCTTATTATTCCAAAGAAACTTTTAACAAGGGTTCTACAGTGATCCCCAGTCCTTAAGCTTCATTTGAAACCAAAGTTACAGCTATGCATAGGAACTATTTTGTTTAAAACATGTACTATTTTCTTGTATGTTATTTCTGATAGGGCCGAGTTAATGGTTTTATACCTATAACAGCCCCAAGCTTGCTATACTGTCTTCTACTTTACTTAATTTTATTCTATGATCTATTTTTAGCAAAGAAAAACACATAACGCATTTGTCCAAACACTATTTCACTGATTTTAAGCTCAAATTGGACTAGTGGTAACATATGCGTTAGAATTAAGTATATATCAATTTTCTAAGTCATAAAAGGATACAAAAAGGAACCCAACAAAACATTAAATCTCACAAGATAATTTGATGAAAAGCTACCTTTTTACTGTGACCCAGTCAAAATATACACGTTTCATTGATTAAAGTCTAAATGCAAACATTGTAAATTCAGCTTAAGTCTTAACTGCATGTATGCATGCTAAATGACCAAAAAAGGCTTAAATACCATATTGTAGCTGTTTGAGGGCTGTAATTTGACACCAACATATTTTTCATAAAACAAAGATGACGTATCATGATAACTAACAACAAATGTAACCAATTTTCATTTTGAATGGTTTAATTTCCAAAAATTGAATTTCACATGTTTTTCAGTGATAGGAATAAAACTACTAATTAATAGCCACCTTGCTATCTATATTAAGTTCTGCAACTTCAAGCATTTTTGTCTTAAGTTTAAATGAAGTTATAATCAATTCACGTCAAACTTGACCTTATCCTGACTTGTGATGAAAAAATCAACATACCTTTAATTGCATATTAGTGCGCACTGGTTCCCGGAAATTGGGTAGTACAAAAACAAGCACTTCTTATCTGAGCAACAGGACAAATATGCCTTCCTATCTTAATTTTGTATATTTTATTTATTATTCCAAAGAAACTTTTAACAAGGGTTCAACAGTGATCCCAATCCTTAATCTTCCATTTGAAACCAAAATTACCCAAATATATTACTTATTGACAAAGTTACAGCTATGCGCAGGAACTTTTTTGTTTAAAATATGTGCTACTTTCTTGTATGTTCTTTCTGATCGGGCCGAACTAGTAATACGGAGTATATATCTCCCAATTGATACGGTATGCCCGGGCTTGTATTTCCTATCATGATTTCCTTGATAGAGGATTGCTGCTCACAAGGAAGCTATTAAACCAAGAGTTCCAATGGTGAAGTTGAAATCATCCCTTCGTAAGTTTTACGGACGCCATCACGAGTTGGTTGACCGTTATGGAATAACCGTTTCACAGATGATATCGGATATGTTCCTTATGTCGTAACTACAATACCCTTCCCTTTTCACGAATGTGACCTACCGAATTAGGCAATTTATCGGATTTGTAATAACATAAGCAACACGACGGGTGCCACATGTGGAGCAGGATTTGCTTACCTTTCCAGAGCACCTGAGATCACCCCCAGTTTTTGGTGGGGTTCGTGTTGCTTAGTCTTTAGTTTTCTATGTTATATGTTATCTGTACTATTATCTCATCAATCCTTTAAATAAACTTATTCTAAGAGGTTACCTATTCACAACTGTAATTAAATCTTTGAATATTATTTTATTGGTATAAATATTGCTTTTGTTATCAGTAAATTAAAACCATACTGAATATTACACAGTCTGTCGATACCTATAGTTTGGCATTACACAAGGTCATGTTTTTTTATGACTGTTAATGACGTCTTTACACTAAATCCATTGGATGTTGGATGTGTACTCCTTGATATTTTAGTCTTAGATACATGATGTTTTTTATTAGTTGTTATTACCTTTGAACTAGCTGTCAGTTACAACGAGTACTCTCAGATCTATACTTAGTGTCTTTTTGTTGTGGGGATGTATAAGTACCCTGTCACGACAACTCTGTGTTTTTGTTAGATGTATTTCTATTTGTATCCATCTGATGAGTTAAGCCTTTTTCAATTGTTTTTTTTATAGTTTGTTCTTATGTTGTACTGTTACACCACTGTCCCAGGTTAGAGGAGGGTTGAGCGCTCACAAACATGTTTAACCCCGCCACATTCTTTATGTGCCTATCCCAAGTCATGAGCCTGCATTTCAGTGGTTGTCGTTGGTTCATGTCAGTCATATTTGTTTTTCGTAAATTGTTTTGTTATAAATTAGGCCGATTGTTTTGTCAATTGAATAATTTCATATTTTTCATGTCGGGGCCTTTTATAGCCGACCATAGGGTATGGGTTTTCATTGTTGAAGGCCGTAAGGTTGCCTATAATTGCTTACATCCACTTCATTTGAACTTGATGGATATCTGTCTCATTGGCAATCATACCACATCTCTTTTTGTTTTTTTACATTTTATCATTTTACTAAAACTCATGATTTTAGAAATTTACAATATTTGGCTTCTTTGTCGCAGCATTTTCAAACACAATATGCACTGTGTCACTGTTTTCATGCATATAAAACTTTTACTAAATTCATTCATAGATACAAAGATTTGATTAGTAAATTTGGCTGTACCTCTTCTTATTAGTAAAGGTTATCTTATTAATGTTCTACTACGATCTTTGAATATTGTTTACATTGGAACAAATACTTTGTCATCAACGAATTAAAACATAACTTAATATGTATTCTTTTCGAATGTTTTTTGGGGATGTAAAATACACATCCACGTTCATTTTCTATATAGAGATCGCTTTATCTATATGTAATATTATACATATTTATTACTGCATGTCGATACTTTTATTTTGGCATTGCACAAGTCATGTCTTCTTTGACTGTCTATGGCGTTAAAACACTAAATCCCTGGGATGTGTTTTAGTTGATGTTAGTCTCTGATGCATGATTTATTATTATTAATTGTTTTTGGCTTTTAACTTGCTTTCAGTAACTGCGAGTACTCTCAAATCGTACTTTCGTGTTAATTGGACTTGTTGACACAATTTGTAAGTCAATGTTTACCTATTTTGTGTTATATCTCGTCTCACTATTTTCAATATGTACCACCTTTGATAAGTATTCAGTATGACGATAAGTTTTCACTTCTGTTCTCGTACTATGAACAACAAATTTATTTATTTTGTAAAAAATATTTCCGTACTCCTAACAACAAAATTCTTTTATATAAATACCTGTGTAAGTTATTTTATTTAACGCCATTTTGTCCAAGGTTATAGTTGTCTTTTTGACATTGTTTTACATCTCCCCCTTTTTTATTTAATATTGTATTTATATTGTGTCATAGATCAAATTTATTCGTTCAGTGTATGTTTACTTGTTTTTGTTAATATGTCTTTTTGATTGCGTTAAGCCATTTCAATCGATATTTTGTAGTGTGTCTTTCGATGTTGTAATGTTACACTACTATTTCAGGTTAGGGTGAAGGTTGGCGCCTGTTAAAACGTTTAAACCCGATGCATTTGTTTAAGTCAGGAACCTGTTGTTCAGTAGTTGTCGTTTGTTGATGTGGTTCATAAGACCGTTGGTTTTCCTGTTTGGATTGTATTACACTAGTCATATTTGGGCCCTTTATAGCTTGCAGTTCGGTGTGAGCCAAGGCTCTGTGTTGAAGGCCGTACTTTGACCTATAATTGTTTACTTTTTACACATTGTGACTTGAACGGAGAGTTGTCTCATTGGCACTCATATCACATCTTCTTAATCTAAATAATCTGATTTTTTAACACTCAAAACTAGTATGACTCAATCGATTTTGTTTGTTCTGTCTAGACTCATTATTAAAATAATTTAAATTACTAACTCAAATCAATCATTGTATTCATGGTAGATAAATTATCAAACTCTAACCTACCTGATAAACGCTTAAAAAACCCCACTTGTCTTTAAAACTGGAATCTTCGTTACACGTTTAAACTAAACCTGCATATTGATGTTAGAAACGTCGTATTTTTAATTTACATTTTAATTATTCAAAATTGTTTTTAACAAAAATCTAGAAATATGAACATTTTTCTAAATATAGAACATATTAAGCCCAAGAATTGTAACAAATTTGAGAACAGAGAACTATTGTGACAGTAACGATTAGTCTTAAGACATTATCCTTATTTTAGGTTTTAGCATACAAGTTTCAATTTGAAAGTTTTTGCTGGTTCATCATTTTCTTTCCAAATTTACACCGTTGAACAAACCAAATCTTAATACTCTTCTAAAATGTGCTTTACATCGCGTATTAGTGTTGACATATACTATAAACATTGTTGAATATTGATTTGACTATTTCTATAGGAGGTATACCCATTCGACTGTCAAACTATGATCATGGTCGCTTAGAAATTTTGATACATAAAAGATGGGGAACAGTTTGTGATGATAATTTTACTGTAAATGCTGCCATGGTAGTTTGTAGACAGCTTGGATTTCCATGGTGAGTTCATTTTATTACTAATTGTTACCCCGAAAAATATATATTTACAGATTTGTCAATACTGTTAGGAGAGAAAAAGTTTGTATGTACATGTATAAACTTGATAGCGACGCCAGCTACTTTGTTTCTTTAGTTGTATAACAAAAAAATACTATTTTGCGCATGTGTCTTATTTACCAAAACTGATCTTTCTTGTAAATGCCAAAGAGTACTATATGCGTTTAACAATATGTGCATGTATATTACAAAAAGTGATTAAATTAACAGTTTAGTATCTGGTTTGAATCAGTGGACAGAGAATACATTATGTAAGGTGTGCTTTGAAGTTAAAACTATGATTGACTGTACTGTAGCTATTTGTAGCATGTTCCACCGAATGATGGTGTGTAAAAAATAGACCATTTATATGTTTTCCTTGTGGTTCGTACATGTCTGTAGGTGTTTGGGTGGTTTTGTCTTGTTCTGCTGTCGTTTAGTAACACTATTTCAGATAGTTTGGCAATAAGGCCGTTAATAACTTATAAAATATTATTAGTCGCATTTTAAGACGTGTTCAGCTAATGTAGGTAGTTGTAAGTTATTCATCATATATGTTATAACACTTGGGTTATGGTTGTTATCACAAATGTATATAGCTGCTCCCATATGAAACATTTCTATTTTTATTGTGTAGCATATGTTGTGTGAGGGTCCCGTATGATGCAGCTGTATTCTAGTTGAAGTTTTACTATTGCTTGGTATGCTCTGGATTTCATGTCTGTGTTTGATTTTTTAGGATTTCATTAAAAGAATCCGTTCGATATAATGCTGTCATAATGTAGGTTACTTAAGATTTGATTGTAAAGTAACACACAGGCATTTAGAAAATGTAACGGATTCAAGAAAGGATGGTTTATTAGTTACATAGTCACTAAATGACAATGTAACGAAATTACCCCATCGATGCACATGTTTGAAACGACAAACACCAAATGGGGCATACACATATTTAAGACAACAATCGCCAAATGATGCACATATTTGAGACGACAAATGCCAAGTTGTGCACATGTTTGAGACGACAAACGCCAAATGATACACATGTTTGAGACGACAAATGTTAAGTGATGCACATGTTTGAGACGACAAACACCAAATGATGCACATGTAAGAGATGACCGGCTTTATCTTTGTTAAATACTACAAATATAAATGTAAACAAAAATTTAATTCAACAATAACAACAAGAAAAACAACATGAACAACTGATATCACAGTAAATTTTGCAAAATAATGTTACGAAAAGATCAGAAATGTCATTTTGAAACATTAAAGTTGAAGTTTATTGTTCCAATGGTACATCCTGAAAAAGCGGGCAGGATTGGTTTATTCTGAACATTTGAGATATTTGTCTCGGTTTGCAATGAACTTGAAGTAAAGTCAGTAAAGATATAAGAAAAATTCAAACCCTGAAATCCCGAAACCGCGACTGAACGACAAGGTCCATTTCCACATTCTTGCATAATCGGCACAATAATAGTACATTCTATTGCTGTTTCAGGTGGCGGCAAAGCAAATAAAGTTGAATTTTTAGGTGGCAGTTATGCTAGAACAGCAGAATTTTGGGGGTTAGACCTTTTCCATTGCATGACCCATTGCAATTTTCTCTTCAGTATCAGTTTTCTGATAAACAGTGAGAGACTGAACCGATTTATGTCCTGTCACTGCCATTATTTGAGATGAATGAAACATACTTTTTGTCAATATTGTTGCTGCAGTCGCACAAATGGAACGTTTTGTGTAAATTTGGGAAAGTTTAGCCCCTCACTCAACTGCATCATGAATTTTGCCGATGTTTTTTTTGCTCCTAATCGAGAGTTACAGTCTCAAACTGTATCGTCATCACTCAACGATTCCTTCGGTCTCTGCCATAAATTAGTGCATACAGGATGAAGTCTGTTGATGTACTTTTCAAACGATTTGACAGGATAATAGGGTGATCTAGGGAACTTGGGAATAACACCAGATGTTGATTCTCTATCATTACCTCTATGATTTTTAGTAAGTTCATCTCCACACTTTGAGACATATTTAAGTCCAGTCTTTGAATCATTTAGAACTTCAAAAGTTGATTTCTTTCATTCCATGCATATTTTCCTGTGATCGTCTTAAAAACATATAGTCTAATACCAAATTGCACTTTGTTCAAAACGGAAAGTCCTTTGTAAAATGCCAAAATCATAAGCTCAAACACATCTAACGAATGGAAAACAACTGTAATATTCCTGACTTGGTACAGGCATTTCTTATGTAGAAAAAACAGTGATCGGGTATAAGAAATACACGGTCTTTGTCAGGGTATTGCTAAAATATTGACCGAGTATAAGAAATACACGGTCTTCACGTGGTGCTAATTAGGGAAAGGGACTGGTTGATTTATTCAGAGGTGGGGTAATAGTACAAATATGTTTTTTATGGGATATTGTAGTTACAAGTTTGGCACACTTGTCTGTGTAAAAAGTCATCAGCTAATCTGCTTCCAACCTTGCTGCAGCGTCTAAATCTTGTTGTAATTTATTGTAGTCTTCAGTAAAAATTGGCACCGTTTATGTTATTCATGAGAGTAGATTTATCTATATATATAATGCTGTCATTAAATATGATCTATTTTGATAGAAAATTCATAAAAATACCAGAAACACATGTGTTGTACATTTGGTTGCTATGGTTAACATAGCACCATAACAACCCTTAAATTTCAGTTCTAAAACCTCATAAATTGCAGTTTTTCATCACAGATTTTTTTTAAACTGCTAATTAATTTCGATATTATAAATATATATTATCATAGTTACACATTTGTTCTAAAAATTAAAGTTGATAAACAGAATGCTCAACTATGGCAACCAATCATTGCAGTTTTGCATCTTCCTAAAAGAAGGGAAAATAACGTTTTTCCGATTCTATTTTCTTCCATGAACAGGGTCCTATGAAAAACCTGTTTGTTTGCATTTGTTCATTGGACCTTTGTCTAAAAAAATATCAAAAATAATCGTTTGTACCCTCCTTTAGATGTCTTTAGGGTGACGTTAGTAAAGACCGCAACAAAAATAACTTTGCAGAAAGCTGCCTAAACAACATTGTAAATTTGGCATCACATGTAGTCAAACAGAACCGGAAGTGACAAAATACAAGATGCACAGAATAAAAATAATCAGAAAAAATAATTAATCTATCTAATTTAACAGCATAAATAAGTGAATCTTTACCAAATTATCAATGTATCAATACTTTCAATTGTTGTTTTCCAAAAGATGCAGCACATATTATGAAATATAAAATTACGAGAGAAAGGTGCAAGGCTACAAATAAAAAAAATGATATGTTGTTTGGGAGATTCCATATTTATTGTAATGCTAAATAGTTTATCACAAATAGCCTGTTCTCAGAAGATATATGTTATAACATCCATCATATTTCCAATACTTTCCTAGTGAGGAAAACATGCCCATCTGAATTTTTATTATGATATAATGGCAATAATAGTAGGCATCAACAATTATGGTTGAATATGTATTTATTTTTACTCAAAATGTGTCACATAATAAAATATAAAGCATATTAGTAACATAAACTAAATCACTTTTTCTTCATATTGCATGAAACTTAGGTGGAGCCATACTTATCTATTTCTATGTAAAATTTGTCAAGATCTGCTTGGCTAATTGTTGTTAAAGTTGTGATTTTATTTGAATTTTTTGGATTTCTTGTAAAGAAGATATCTAGTATTCTGTCTATACGTTTAGCTTTATCTGTTTCTTGCTGTAGGTTGTGATCATTTGTTAAGTCTATTTATCTATATGTTAACATTTTCATGGGATGTTTCGTCATCAGAGGGAGGTCGATAGTAAATAACAGCAAATATCTTTCTTGTACCTGTGATATTAATTTCGGACCATACATGTTCACATTCTGTTTGTAACTCGCTGATTTCTGAGTTTATGAACTCTTTTGTTATTACTAAAAGTACACCTCTATGACTTTTTTTTTCACTTATTTGGTGTTCTAACTTTTCTGTACACCTTATAAAGGTTTGGTGGAAAATATTCTGATGAAGGTGTTGTATGATTTAACCAGCTTTCATTTTCAATAATGATATCAGGTTTAACTGAATTGACAATCTCTTATAATTCTGGTTTTTATTACAAACTGATCGAACATTTATATTAAATATTCGAATGGTTCTTTTTATTTTATTTTGTTTTTCTTCTGTTTTGGCAAGGAATCTTATAGTGAGAAGGATTGAAATCGCGTAGTATATCGATACATTTCGCGTATCGTGAGACGTCACATACTCGCCACTACAATATTATACGTGTCTGTAAGTAAATATCCGTTTGAATGGCGTGCTCAGCAACATACATTTGTTTTTGTTTGTTTATGGTTAGGTTTAGTCTGTTTTAGCATCTATGTTTAATAATTTGTTTTAATTTCGTGAAGATAACACTATTTCTTCTCATATTGTCAAACTGATTACCACTTCCAAGACGTTGTTTTTCTTGTGACTGTAGTATGAATAGTACAACACATTTTTATGATTACTAGTAATAGCTTTTTAAGATAACTTAAAAGAGAATGTCGAAACAAATATTGATTGTCGCAGCTTGTTTATTTGTACTTTTTTTTCTAGTATGATTCAATGAAACTGACCCAACTACCACAATAACCAATAGACATCTACAGTCTTCAAGAATATTTGGCCTCCAAACAATATGTGTATGTTGATATTTTTATCATCCCAAGTCTATAATATGAATAAATGAAACAGAATCAATATAAGGTCTGCAACAAATGAGAAATTAAATGAATTCATTGGATTTCAAGGATTCTCACCTCTTCAAACTGCAAATACATGAGTGTACACTGGTACTATTAGAATTTTGTGTTCATTGAATGTCTTTTAAGAAGTTTCAACCATTCATGATTTAGAACAACAGTAGAAATCTTGTTTAAAAAATCAGTTGTTATACCCGGTACAAAAACATTTGCCGTGTGTACTTATTAATAACACAAGCAAATACATGCATAAAGCCTATCTCTAATAACTCTGACAGTTAATGTGCTTGTTGAAGGTTGGGCATTTTTGTAAAACATTAAGAGCATATATAAGTGGACAATCATTTCATTTTTCGGGGGTAAGGCAGGAGGATTTTTCTCGGACAGAATATTCATGATATTCATTTACATCTGTTGGTTGGATTATTATTTCACAAAACTTCATTTTTTTCATTTTTTTTGCACAATTAACTCATGCGTAATGTGAGGCAGACATTCATTTTCATTTTAAATGGACAGAATTTTCTTTTTCATTATCACCCAGCAAG